CAGTTTTTGTTTGGGATTTGTGTGGATTAACCAACAGATTTCCCCCATCCTTACTGTTTCTGAAATGCAAAGGTAAGGCTCAGTTGAAGCAGGAAAGAAGGCGAACTAGCCACCCCACTTTACCTTTCAGGGACAAACTGCACATTATTTATAGTTTATTGTTCTTTCCTTTACCTCCTTGCATTTATTTTAAGAAAGGAAAATAGCATAGGAGAATGACTATCAAGGGGAGGGCTGATGGGAATAGGAAAGGAAGATCCTATTCATTTCTCTGCTAGCCATATGCCCACTCAAGCCAACTCTTCTCCAAAGCTTTCCAACCCTAAGGACAGCAGTGCTTTAAGTGGGGTTTCTGGGCTGCACACAGCTCCTATACACTGGGGGGGGGGGGGTCATCCAAACTACATTATAACTTTGCAAACCAGTTTAAAATATGGTCATTCACACTGGCACCAGGTTTTCCTGAACTGAATTCAAGGGGGCCCATTTCAAATCCTCCTTGACCTGGGTTTTCCAGGATCACATTTCCCCTCCCCCATGTCTTTTCAAAAGCACTGGGTGTTATCTGGGTACCGCCAATGGGAACGTGCTCCTGATCTCATTCGGGGCCTCCAAGAGGGAGTGGTGTAGTGTGCAGAGGGTGGGCAGCGGGGCCTTCCCTTGCCATCCTCTGAGGCTGATGGGGGGGAATCCCCCCAAGGAGAAGGTCTCATAGAGGTTTCATGGCAAGGGGTCCTCAGAGGGACTTGCCCTCCCTTGCCATCCTCCAAGGCTGACAGTGGACGGATCATGCCCACCCCTTTGGTCTCTCTTTCACTGCCAGCCAAGGCCAAAGCCAGGGAGGGGGGTCTCCCAGGAACATTATTAGTGTACTTTAAAAAAAACAACACACAAATCTGACAGCTTATGCACACCTTTGCTATTACATGGCCACAGCATACAGTACTTTTAAATATTCACATTGTCAATATGACAAAGGTGCACATGATTTGTTTGACATTTTTAAAAAACACGATTAGTGGGTGGTGATGGTTAGGGTTTTTTTTCCCTCTTTCCTCAGAAATAAAACCACATCAGACTCCATTCTGCCCCTTCTCTTCCTCCTCTTCCTCTGCCCCTGCCACCATGTCCTCCTTCCTCTTCTTCCCACTCCTGCTCTTCCTCCTTCCTCCTTTGCATCTGTCCTCTCTCCTCTCCTCTTCCTCTTCTTCCTCTACCCAGCACCTGCCATGTATCTGCCCTCCCTCCTCTCCTCTTCCTTCTCTTCCTCTCTCCTTTTCCTCTCCCCCGGCACCTGCCATGTGTCTGTCCTCCCTCCTCTCTTCTTCCTCTTCCTCTATCCTTTTCCTCTCCCCCCCACACCTGCCATGTATCTGTCCTCCCTCCTCTCCTCTTCCTCTCTCCCTGCACCTGCCATGTGTCTGTCCTTCCTCCTCTCCTCTTCCTTCTCTTCCTCTCTCCTCTTCCTCTCCCCTGCACCTCTCATGTGTCTGTCCTTCCTCCTCTCCTCTTCCTAATCTTCCACTCTCCTCTTCCTCCCCCCCTGTTCCTGAGCATAAATGGGAATCAGGATAAAATGCCATGGAGAGATTTGATTGTGACAAATTTATGGAAATAACCTGGTTTCCACACCGGGTTATTTCCTAGGAGTTTATCACACGGGGAAATCCCGTGCGGAAATGGGGCTTTAAATTAAACAAAATCCGCAATAGTGGGTGTTTTTTCAGATGATGTCACTGTTAAAAGGAGTTTAATCCAAATGGAAATTAGACAAAAACTGCTTCTTTTTATTTTCGGAAGATCCCAAAAGTAAAAAGAAGCAGTGTTTGTCTGATTTCTGTTTGGATTAACCTCCTTTTAACAGCGCTTTCACTTTTCACACAGGGCAGAACGGGAGAAATCCTGTTCATTGAAAGCTTCCGCTTTTGCATTTTTTTTGTTTTTGTTT